ACTGGTCTAACATCACAAAGATTCACTCTGCACAGGGGGACCAGGCAAGGGTGCCCACTCTCTCCCTCCTTATTCACAATTTTCATCGAGCCCTTAGCAACAGCCATCCGTCAAAACTCCCATATCAATGGAATTAAAACACCCCAAATACAGCACAAAATAAGTTTGTATGCAGACGATATTTTACTTTTCCTTCAAAATCCTCGATCATCTCTGCAGGAATTAATAAATCTCTTTGAATCATTTTCCCAAATCTCAGACTACTCAATAAACTGGAATAAATCATCCATCCTCCCATTGCACAACACCAGATGGGATGCGACAGCCCATACATTACTCATTCCTCTATGCACGGGTCACTTCACATATTTGGGTATCAACATTTCCTCCAGGTTGTCAGAGCTGATAGAACTAAACTTCACTTCACTACTTAAAACAATAGATGACGACCTCCAACGCTGGATGAAGCTACCACTATCCATTCTAGGCAGAATAGCAACAATTAAAATGACAATACTACCTAAAATAAATTATCTTTTTTCATTTATCCCAACCCATCCCACTTCCACCTGGTTCAACTCTCTAAACTCGATAATCACTCAATTTTACTGGAAAAATAAAACACCAAGGATCAAACTGGCCACACTTCAAAAACCCAAATTACAAGGCGGATTAGATGCACCACATTTCAGCCATTACTCTCTGGCAAATCAACTACAGTACATATACAAATGGACACACCCCAATTACTCAGATCACACCTGGTTAGACATAGAACAGACACTCTGTAAAGATATCCGGATTTCAGACACACCATTTCTCAGTCTATCAATCAAACGCCACCCCTGTTTTAAAGCAATAACAATAGCATCTGCTCTGACAGCCTGGTGGAAATTTCACAAAATCACAAATACCACTCTTTCACCATCTCACCTCACCCCCATTTGGAACAATCCGGACCTCCTTTGCAACAAAAAAGCACTCAACTTTCACACATGGGCAGGAAAGGGCATCACACACCTTAAACACATTTTCCATAATAACACCCTGGCATCATTTCCCCACCTGGTCCAGGAGTAAGGCATCGGGAGTAATCACTTTCTGGAATATTTACAGTTTAAGTCATCTGTCAAATCAAAAATTAACATCAGATCCAAATCTAGACCTTTCACCTGCAATATCAGAATTTATTAATATCTTTTCCCCAAAAAAACTCCTCTCCAAAATATATAAAATAATATTAGAATCTGACAAAATCATATCTCTACCATCACAAAAATGGCAACAAGACCTGACAATTGCTCCTGATGCCGACTTCTAGACCCAAATCTGTAAAAACATTTATCTTATGACTAAAATTGCTAACTTACAACTCATACAATAAAAGATACTTCACAGAACTCACTACACTGGACAAAAAATGTTTAAAATGGGCTTCACCTCAGAAATTTGCACCCACTGCACTCAGAACTGTCCCGACACCTACACTCATGCCATTTGGCACTGCACCCCAATCAAACACTTCTGGAAACTAGTCACTGAGTCATTATCACACCTCATGGGCTGCCGCATCCCTTTATCCCCCTCACTTTGCCTTCTAGGAGACTTATCATCACTCACAATAGACAAAACTAACAATAACCTTCTTCTCGTGGCCCTAACTATCGCCAAGAAACTATTCTCATGAACTGGAAATCTAGGAACACCATTCATCTGGCCCACTGGAAAAACCTGCTCATTGACCACATCTCTCTCGAATATACACCCACCCCCCCTCCATACTACAACAGAATCTCAATCCCCCTGGTCCACTCTCATCCACTTCTTAACAACTTAAACACCCCAATTTCCATCCGACCAATTTATCATTTATATATATATATATATATATATATATATATATATATATATATCCAATAAAACACATTAAGGGGAGGGGAATGAAGAGGGAAAGGGAAAGAGAGGGGAAAAAAAAAAGAAAACAAAGAAAATGTGCATATGTATATGTGTGTATGTATGGTATGTATGGTGTGTATGTATGGTCTCCCCGGGTCATTGATGTAGTGGTGATGGTGTAATGATGATGATGGTGTTGATGGTGACGGTAGTGGTGTGCCAGTGGTGGTGATGGTGGATTGGTGATGGTGATGATGATGATGGTAGTGGCAGGGGGGGTGGCGATTACTGTGAGGATGTGGAATAGCAGAGGTCGTTGTGGTGTGCGGCGGTGTGGTCTGGGCTGGGGGTTGGCTCGGGTCCCTGTGCCGCCGGAGGGTGGGCTGGCTGGTGCTCATGGTTCCCCGGTGTCCTGGGATTGGCTGGCCCACCTGCCTGGACCTGGTGGGCGCAAAATGTGGGGATCCTGTGTGGGCTGCGGGATGCGTCCCCCGCCCCTTTTTGGCCCCACTCTGCCCCAGTTTCTTTTTTGCCCAGGGCCAGTTCCATGTCACATGCCTCTCCGACTTTTAATGCATCACACACCAACCCTTCACACCCCACTTTTTAATGCATACATCACAGTGAAGTTTTTAATGCACCACATGAACATAACACAAGAGGAGAGTCATGTGCGGCCCGGGGTATTTAGAGGTGGAGTGGGTGGTCAGTTCGGTTGGCGGGTGGCCGCGGGGCACCCCACAGGGCCCCGCCCTGCGGGCGTCCCACGTGGGACGTGGGTGCCGGTCGGCCTGCTTTTTGGGAGGTGCAGGGGGTAGTGTTGTGGATTGTGGTGATTTTTGTTGTTCCGTATCTTCATTACTATGACTGTCATTATTGTTAGCGTCGTTGCGGTCATTCGTTTGCTGTCATTGCTGTCGCCGGTATTTCTGGTGTTGTTATTGCTAATGCTGTTGTGGTTGTTGTATAGTCGCTGTTGTGTCGGTGATTCGGGGGGATTGTGTGTGTGTGTGTGTATATAGGTGTATATATATGTATATGTGTGTATGTATGTGTGCATGTATATTTGTATATGTATGTATATGTATATATATAGCTATTATTATATAGATATTCCAATGTAATCCAATTAAGATTTTTTTTCTTTTCTTTTTAAATTCTCTATTACATATTATATAAATTCTTTCCCCCTCCCCTCCCTCACAAAAGTATTTTTGTAAATTTTTTATTTTTTATCTTTTTGTTGTTGTTGTTTCTGTTGTTGTCGTCACTCTGTTTTGTTGTTAAATAAAAAAATAAAAATAAGAAGTGACTTTTTTTCTGTGAGCCGGATCTCTTCAGGCAGGTTGATCCAAAGTCTCATACAAGGCATCATGAGGAGTTTTCTTTTTCTTTTTTTTTTTTTTTTTTTACGAGAGAAAAACAAACTGAAACTGATTAAACAAGACCATCAGCATCCTCTTCAGAAACTATTTTTCTTCAACTCTCTTCATTTAAGACAATCATGTTACGATGGCTTTATTTTTTGCATATAAATAATAAATAATGACATTATTCTTCTTAGAAAATGATTTAGTTTTTTAGAATTTTTTTAGAAAAGAATATTACCTTGACAGGTCTTCAACAGTCGTAAATGTGACAAAGAGAAGCTTTGAGAAATCCTGCAATGCTCCTGTTTGTGTCTCCACCAGGGGTCACCAGATACTTCCACATCATGTGCAGACCGACCTCTAGATCTGTCCCAGTAGAGACGTGTGTCACTGCACCAGTTGACTGCAACCAAATGAGACTCTCTCTTGGTTTTCAGCAAGGATGTTACAGGGATTTCATCGCCACGCTGTCAGAGCATTGAGATCCTGATTTTCAATGCATTCGTAAGTGACTCTGTAAGTCATTATCTTTATTTTAATGTTATCAGACAGCACATTTATTGATAATGTGGAGGCTTTGCAGTAACCATGTTCATAACTTGTTGAAGGCAGGAATTGAATTATAATGTCACTGGGGTTTAGAATGGCAAAAACCGTGTATGTGTGTAACTGGACTCTGAAATTTGACTTACAAGGTGAGACAACCTTCTGTCTACAACACTAACACGCTATCTCTCTCTTCACTCTGTTTGAATCAGTGATCTTGACTTTAAGATACTTAATTGGCATAAATGGAGTCAACATTGCTAAAGCAGAGTAAACTGAACACAGAAGATGTCGATAAAATGTCAATAAAATATGTATCTCTATGGTTATATATCCTTGGACGTTAAAAGTTGTTTTGCTTCACATATATTGTTATATAGGCACAAGCTAAACTCAAACAAAATTGATACAATAAAGAAATTAATCAAGATAAAATTATCAACATGTCTGACACAGTGGCAGTCAGTTGCGAACCATCAACAAAGAGTCTTATTAGCTCCTGATGTGGCTCTGCTGCTGTGGACTGGATAAAGGAACTCCTCCTGTTTTCACACAATCTGAAAGAGCTTGAAAGACAGAGGACTTCAGTCCCCCAGTACAGAATACTCTCTTTTATGGAGACAGTAACATTTTAATTTAAAGATGGAGTTTATCTAATTTTGCCACCATTCAGTGTTTCTGGATTTGTTTTCCTTGGCAAACATGTTGATTTGTCAAAATGCTTTTACATTCATGACTGTGTTTACTGAGTCTCAAATGAACATGTTGTCAGATAACCTGCAAAATACACCTGTCCAAGTGGATGAACACGATGTGTGGATGCATGTCATGAAAATAAAACATGGTTTCAAACGTCCATATTTTCCAGCAGCGATTCAACAAATTTAAGTGCAATATATCTTTCATTCATTTATTACAACAAAGTATCTCTGTAATTTGATTTGAATGATAATGGCCTAAATAATGGACAAATATGTCAAATTTTTAGAAAGTATCATTTTCAGTCTTTTGAGGTGTAGTCTGGTCATATTTCTGTAGTTTATCACAACTCTTGCTGCTTGAACGTGTTGAAGTTTTTCTGGAAGCTTTTCGTGGACAGAGCATTCATAGGATTTCTTTTCTCTCTCAGAGATAGATGAGGAGATAAGGACACCTTCATCGAAGACAGTTTGAACTGAGGGTCTTCCTATGGTTGCCAGGCGACGCCTGGCCATGGGCAACGGTTCGATTAAAGCCCCAAAGGCCGAGGAGAATAGCTGCCTGGCCTCCATCCACCAGACTGGCCTGGAAACAGAGCTCAGGTCAGAGCCAGAACTCAGTACCCATCAAAGGAAACCTACTGCAAGGAGAGTTTATTGTATTGTACTTTGCATTAAGGACCATATTCAGAAGTTTGAACTTGTTGAAAAGTTGTTATTTGCACAAGGGTAAGACTCTAAAATATTTGATCTCTACACATTTTGGGCCTGATCTACTAAAGGTTTAAGTATACAAGAGCTTGTGCAATTTTGATAACGCACACAAAGCTGTTCTACTAACCGGGGGCACTGAGGATTGCATCCGTCAAATGAGCAAAACAGCACTCTCAATCCATTTAGTATGTTTGCCCCCATGAATATGGCATAGAATCATTTAGCAACCGCAATGTGAATTATTAAACCTCAAATTGATTGAGCTCGCTGTTTTGCATCTATATGTAGCACACTGGCACGTTCAAACTGGCAAAACCTTATGCACAAATAGCCTTGGTCATTGTGGCAAGATGTAGGCATATGGACAATGACAGACACAAGAGAGAGAGAGTCTCCTGTGTTAAGTGTCAACATATTGAGACAGAAAGAATGTCATATTAGTTGTTAGCTTACATTAATATGCGCGATAAGGAAATTATGTTTATTTCTATGCAAATACAAAACAATACAGTACAGGAACTCTATTGATCCCCAAAGGAGAAATTCATCAAATGGGAGTCATTGCAAAAAAAAAAAAAAAAAAAAAAACATCTAATGCATCAATCCCTAGTGCAGAACAGTCGTGCACAGGTCAAAGTAAAATATTTTCTGATGAGAGCAAACTCTCGAACCTAAAATTCACACATCTGCTCATAAAGTCTGTTTGCATTGCGCTAACAGTGTTATTTGATAATAAACAAGTGAAATCAGTCTTAGGCCATCTGTGGCTAAACTCCTGCACATTCAGGCAGCATGCAGACTTTTTAAATTCTTCCTTTTATCGGAACAAGCTCCTTCTTCCAGCTTGACATAAAGTGTATATGAACTGTGATATTTTGTGGTCGTTTATCAGCTTCATAATCATGTAGAGACTCTTTTTGGCCATCTACAAAACCCAATTCCATTGGAGTTGGGAAATTGTGATAAACCTAAATAAAAACAGAATACAATGACTTCAATTGAATACACTACAAAGACAAGATATTTCATGTTCAAACTCATAAACTTTATTTTTTTTTTTTGCGAATAATCATTAACTTTAGAATTTGATGGCAGCAACACATGACAAAGAAATTGGGAAAGGTGGCTAAAAATACTGAAAAATTTGAGGAATGCTCATCAAACACCTATTTGGAACATCCCACAGGTTAGCAGGCTAATTGGGAACAGGTGGGTGCCATGATTGGGTATAAAATCAGCTTCCCCAAAAATTCTCAGTCATTCAAAAGCAAGGACGGGGCAAGGTTCACCACTTTGTGAACAACTGTGTGAGCAAATAGTCGAACAGTTTAAGAACAACGTTTCTCAAAGTACAATTCCAAGGAATTTAGGGATTTCAACATCCACGGTCCATAATATCATCAAAAGGTTCAGAGAATCTGGAGAAATCACTGCACGCAAGTGGCACAGCCAGAAACCAACATTGGATGCCCGTGACCTTCGATCCCTCAGGCAGCACTGTATCAAAAACCGACATCAATGTGTAAAGGATATCACCACATGGGCTCAGGAACACTTCAGAAAACCACTGTCAGTAAATACAGTTCGTCGCTTCATCTGGAAGTGCAAGTTAAAGCTCTACTATGCAAAGTGAAAGCCATTTATCAACAACATCCAGAAACACCGCCGGCTTCTCTGGGCCCGAGCTCATCTAAGATGGACTGATGTAAAGTGGTAGAGTGTTCTGTGGTCTGATGAGTCAACATGTCAAATTGTTTTTGGAAATAGTGGACGTTGTGTCCTAAAGGCTGAAGATGAAAAGAACTGCCCACACTGTTATCAACGCAAAGTTCAAAAGTCAGCATCTTTGATGGTATGGGGGTGCATTAGTGCCCAAGGCATGGGTAACTTACACATCTGTGAAGGCAACATTAATGCTGAAAGGTACATACAGGTTTTGGAGCAACATATGCTGCCATCCAAGCAACGTCTTTTTCATGGATGCCCCTGCTTATTTCAGCAAGACAATGCCAAGCCACATTCTGCACGTGTTACAACAATGTGGCTTCATAGTAAAAGAGTGCAGGTACTCGACTGGCCTGCCTGCAGTCCAGACCTGTCTCCCATTGAAAATGTGTGGCACATTATGAAGCGTAAAACATGACAACGGAGACCCCAGACTGTTGAACCACTGAAGCTGTAAATCAAGCAAGAATGGAGCATACCGGTAGTTTAGACGGGTCACGGAGTCAAACTACAGTTAGCTGATCTTAAGACAGCCCTCAGTCAGGTGACAGCTCAGGTGATCGCCCTCTAGATATCCTATTGGCTATTGTAAAAATGGCGCCCTATTTAAACTGCTTCTCCTGCCTACTCTGCCTGCTGCAACCACTCTGCAAGGCTGCATCCGCTCTGCAAGCTCCCACTCATGAGAACACTCAGATCTGCATTTTTTGCTTTTTCCTACCTTGCTCTTCATCATGTCGAGCCCTGCCCACAACCATGATCCATGGCAGATGACTGCTTTTCTGAAATGCAACATCAGCAATGCGAAGTCGAGGAAGCCAGTCCTTGCAATAACAGCTGCGTTCCCTTCCCCAGGAGCTCTCCTCTGGCAAGGAAAACTTCTATTTCTTCCAGCTTCATGAACGGCCGAAGTCCAGACTCCTGGAAGTCCTTTAAAAATACCATCACAGCTCCAGATGGTGCCTCACATCAAGAGCTTTTTACCTTGTTTATGGAAAATATCCACATAGAGCCTGCACTGGCAGTTCTCTCTTCCTCCTCTGTCTCCAGAAAAGCAACCGAGAAAAGAAAACACAGTTCCCGCAGCGTCACAGCAGTTCAGCTTCAGCCGCCACGCTGCCGCCCACAGAGCGCAAGGCCCAACCCCAGCTACCAGAACCACAGATGTGGATGACAATCCCATTCTGAAAGCACTGTCCAGCATCCAGTCATCACCTACCCATATGTCTTTAAGGATCGAAGCCTTAGAATCCAGTTCGGCATGTGATAGGCTGTCTTCCTCCATCCCAGCTATCACACCTGCATTCACCGTGCTGAACGAAGACATCACTCCAGCGACAACCGACGACAGCGTCACCTTCCCACGAAGGACCCTGGGAAGTGCAGTCCCCGTCTCCACCGGCTTCCCATTCTTCCCTCCCGTGGCTGTAATTACACCTAATCTGCAGAGCCAAATCCTCGCAGGTACTGATGTCGATCTTGTAAAAAAACTTGAAAAAAAACTAAAAAATCTTTCATGTAGCACATGAAAGCTGGGAGGGTCGCCATGTATGGTTGTTTTGGGGGGGTTAAATTTATTTACCTTAATCATATTTATTTGCTGCTGCTATCTCTGCCTTCGCTTTTCATGTATGCACATGAAAGGGAGGGGAGGAGCTCTCCCCTCTTATAGCTGTGGCATTCCATGCAAGCACATGGAAGGGCAAAGAACTCTCAGAACAGAGCCATACCGCCATTGTAAAAATGTTTGCTTGTAATAAATAATTTATTTTGACTAAAGTGATCCTGACTGAAAAGAAGCAAAGCGGTAGTTCAGGCAGGTCACGGAGTCAAGCTAAAGGCTACAGTTAGCTGATCTTAAGCCAGCCCTCAGTCAGGTGACAGCTCAGGTGATCGCCCTCTACACATTCTATTGGCTAATGTCAGAATGGCGCCCTATTTAATTTGCTTCTCCTGTCTACTCTGCCTGCTGCAACCACTCTGCAACCCACCTCCACCCCAGCTCCTCCTGTTTATGTTGTGTCTGATCTTACCAGTGTCATATGTATTGTCACTGTTGCTTGCTCTGTTCTGTGGGGGGATTTTAATTTATTTATCTTAATCGTATTTATTTGCTGCTGCTTTCTCTGCCTTGGCTTTTCATGTATGCATATGAAAGGAAGGGGAGGAGCTCTCCCCTCTTATAGCCGTGGCATTCCATGCAAGCACATGGAAGGGCAGAGAACTCTCAGAACAGAGCCATACCGCCAAAATGTTTGTTTGTAATAAATAATTTATTTTGACTATAGTGATTCTGACTGAAATGGGAAAGAATTCCACCTTCAAAGCTTCAACAATTCGTCTCCTCAGTTCCCAAACATTTATTGTGTGTTGTTGAAAGGAAAGGTGATGTAACACAGTGGTAAACATGCCCCTGTCCCAACTACTTTGGCACATGTTGCAGCCATGAAATTCTGAGTTAATTATTATTTGCAAAACAATTAAAGTCTTTGTAGTATAGGTTGAAAAGAATTTGCAAATCATTGTATTCTTTTTTTTTTACTTAAGTTTATCACAATTTCCCAACTTAAATGGAATTGTGTTTTGTAACTCATCATATACTGTGTGTGAAAGTAACACTGTGTAATACTAATACTGTGTGTGCTGTCAGGATGAGAGTGCACAACACATCTCTGTGCAGCTAGGCATGGATAGAAAACATGTTGAGAGTGAATGATGCATGGTTTATGGTGCTATCAGCAGCCACAGTTTCCTTTTCTTGGTAAATGATCTCTCAGTTTGTGTTGGTTAATTAGCTGTTTTGTCCTTTGCCTTCAAATGTACTCATTCAACATTAAACAATTTCTGTCCCACAGGATGAGGATCACTCACCTGGAAACAGAGCTGGCTCTTAAAGACCAAGAGTTCAGAGCCCAAGAGATTCAGCTGCACAATCTTCAGCGAGAACTAGATGCCAAGATCTCCCAGATTGACAAGCTCCAGGATGCCATCGGTTACAACAGCAATCTGTGCTGTTCTTCTCCGGCAGTGTGTCGCCACAGCTGCCGCTGTTTCAGTGTCATCAACCAGGGTTCAAACCGCTTTCACAAGGTGGCAGTGGAGGTCCACCGTAGGCTCAAGGCAAAGGAGGGCGTCTCTGCTGAACCCACATCCGACAACTTTTGTGGCGGGTTCAGAGAGACTCACATCTCTAACGCCAAGGCCATCCGCAAACATTCAGTGTAAGTTAAAGAGACAGTCCACATAAAATGTATGCTTACGATGTGAAATGTGAAACACAACCTTAACAAATATATTTAACAGTAAATAGTGCAAAGACAGGTGAGAAGTTCATTCTTACCTAAAAGAGGATTTCAGCTTCTCAACAGTTCAGGGTCTCCTCTGTCCTGTTTTTGGTGTCATGATATTCTAAATGTTTCTATTGGGGGACAAGTCAGGACTGCAGGCAGACCAGTTTCTCAGCAGGACTCTTCCCCTACAGAGCCATGCTGTTGTAATCCCTGTAGTCAGAATGTGGTTTGTCTTTGTCTTGCTGAAATATGAAGGTCTTCCTTGAAAACGTCAGCAACAGACTGACAGCATTACGTCAAAGGATGAAAACAGAAAAAACTCTGCATTTCTGTATCTTTTGCATGTACAGTATGACAGCTTCTGGTTCCCTTTGTCATCCCTTTGTATTCTGGCCAGGTTTGTTCTGCCTATAAATACAACGCATTTATACTGTTCAGCTTACAGGGCGAAGCCCAATTTGTGAACTCTGGAGAATGTTTGGTACACTTAGTCCATTTCAGTCTAATTGAGATATAAAAAACAAGGTAAATTGAACCACAACTGCACTAACATTGTATGTTCATCTGGTTAGAAGAGGTTCAATTTAGTGCAGTTTCAGTCTAGCTCACACAATCACATTCACTCAGTCTAATGTGATAAATTGATTTTGGATGACATGTAAGTGCAATGAATGACAAACGTAGTTGGTCAACAGCCTGAACACTGGTTGAGATCCAAATTTAAACAGAACCATGGGGTATGACAGAGTCACACAACAATCAAATCTCTTACTGGGTCAGTCTCATGAAAATGGAGTAAATGTGGTCAGCCCTGATGTTTGTAGGAGGAGGACAGAGCTCTAGACAGCTTTGTAACACCGCCTCCATGTGAAAGGCTGTATTAGCATAGCAGGGACAATGACACAGGGAAACAAAAGACCATGTCATTTAAACAGGATTGACCATAATGGGTTTCAATTACGCAACCCAAGACACCCCCTCACCCTGCTCCTCTCAGACCCATTCAGTTCTCTCCTTCACTGGATACTAGAGAAAATTATCTGTGTGATGTGCTAATCAGGGATTTACACAGGCACAGACTCAAGGAAATTGATTAAACAGCTGAGTTTAATGCAATGGTCTGACCTAGATCAGGATCTGCAAAACTTGTATGAAAATAGTACAGTTTAACACAGAGGAGTCCTAACAGGTGATAGAAAGACTGAAAGATCAGCCTCAAGTCAGAGCTATTAAAAATTACTGTGAAATTAAGTAAGATTCAAATTAAATTTAAATCAACGACTTGTTCTGAGTGCTATGTGGCCTCTCTTTACAAATCTTAACAAAATCAGTCTGGCACACCTACAGAGGAGCTCTGTATGATGTGCAGCTCTACTGTAAAACTGCCTTATTGATCTCATGCTGACGCCTGATAAATGGTCTATTTTAACAATATTCAGCTTCTGCCTAAAATGCTTCACTTTTGCTTTGGAGTGTTACTTTTTACACAGATTTGTTGTCCTGAGACAACCAAGAAGGCACGTCTGTACAGAAAACCTCTGGGACTCATACTGGCCTTTATTTACAAAGGAGTCATCAGTGAAGTGTCAAGCACAAACAGCTCTGTTGTGCCTGTCGTCCTCACACATCCAAACTTCACACTATCCATATTGAGAACAGCAAATGGACATTTTTGGTTGAACATAAAGGGTGAATGCTCTTTAAGTTTAGTCAACTAAAAATTTATGATGTCTTTCAGAAGTAGTTTCTGGAGTAGATTTATAACTTTTATTTATATAGCACATTTAAAAACACATGTTTACAAAGTGCTTTAACAGAAGAAACAAACAAAGGCAGAAACAGACAAAGGAAAATTGACAGTGGAAAAAATGGACAGGTAAAAATGGACAGTTAAAGATTGGTGGTTGATGGTTGACGGCAACCATTTGACATTCAGTCTTTGTTTTTCCCTCCTTCTCAGCACCAAGAGGCTCATCAACAGTGCCATCATGAACAATGACTTTTTGAAGAAGCTGGAGGCTCAGCACATGAGGGAGATGGTGGACTGTATGTATGAGAAGGTTTACAGCGAGGGTCAGCTGGTCATCCAGGAAGGAGAGCCTGGGAATTACCTCTACGTCCTAGCAGGTCAGCCCGGGCTTTATACGAAGCTTTCTTCCATTATTTTTCCCAGTTTACTACATCTCAGTTAGCTTTGGTGTCCAGCTGGAGTTAAGGAAAGTTGTTGAGGTTTACTGGCATATGAAATGTAACAGAGGATGATTAGCAGAGGATAAACCATCCAGCCTATGCCGAACAAATAGAGGATGTAGAAGTGAGGTGGTGCACAGATCATCAGGAGATAGTCCACCTTCTTACCTGGCAGAGCATCACTAAGGTGTCTGTGTTTTTGTCATGGCGGGGCCAGAAAAAGTTAGCATCTAAGTCTGCAAACATAACTACTGTATTACATGACATAACAGTATGTATTTTAAAGTATTTTAAACTGAGTTTCTTTGATTTGGTTTGAAACACACAAAAGGGAGGGCAAAACCAAACTTTGCTCAGTTTGTACTGTTCAACAGTTAAGTCCAAATAAGATTTTCCTTTTTTTCATATCACTGACTCTCCTAATAGTGCCCTGCCTCTATATATCAGACTGACTTTTTAACATTAGGCAGCATCTCCTGGAAGGCCTTTTCGGCTGTTTCTCACTCTCCCTGCTTCTGGCCCTTTCTCTGTCTTTTATCTAACATTTACAGCAAACTATTACCTGATTGAATCCAATAGGGTAGTACTAAGATACTCTGTGGATGACATTCAGGGCTTTAAATAAAGGTGAAATGTCAAATCTGTAGCCCGAGTCAAGGCCTGTCGCGATAATCAATAAATCGCCTTATCGCTCGATAAATAAAAACGAGGTCGATAACTTTGCCAGCCTCGATAATTGACGTGCGTTTGTTTTCCTCCTCTCTCGCTACCAAACATGCTGGATGAGAGAAGAGGTCTCACTCTGCGCATTGTTCTCTGCACCTGGGGGCGTTGGCTCTATAGCGGAATGAACGGAGTTAGTGAACCCTCCTGTCAGTCATTCAGTATCTTTGTGGCGCGCACAGGCACACAGACACAGACTTTTGGATATAGTGCTGCAAGTGAGCGTCGTGAGTGAAAAGCAAGCTAACAGAATGAACACGACAGCTTTGGTGTCTAAACCGAACGCAACAGCCCAAGTGTGGGAATATTTCGGCTTTAAACCAGTTTTGTTTTCGTCAACCACAAAACTCCACGTGTGTATGCGCGCGCGCGTGTGTGTGTCTGTTTGTTGGAGGAGCACAGCAGGCTGATGAGAGCTGTCAGAGCGGACGGAAGCTGCTCCTATATGTTTAGCGTTTAACTGACTGAGTTTTGCAACTCTGTTCGTCATTTTCGTCTCGTCCCATCAACGTAAACGCACTTTCGTCTCGTCACATTTTAGTCATCTCCGACTTATGTTTAGCTCGTCAACGTTACGTCTTCGTCGTGGGTGAAATTAAAGTTTATCACTTTTGACACGGTGTACTCGCATTATTATGCCATTTCATATCATTATCTATAATTTAAAAAACGGTGTCAATAATATCGTTTATCGGCAATAATTTGTAGCACAATTATCGTCCAGCAAAATTTGTTATCGTGACAGGCCTACCCGAGTCCTTTAGTTTCAATAACACAGTGCTGATATTATGCTACAAGTGACAGTCCAGTATTCAGAAAGCTGATCATTAGTTTAAGTCAAACCTGTGAAGATATAGCTATTAAGTACTATTAAATTTGATTTAAATAACATCATTATGTGAGAGAAACCGGTATGCTTTGGTAAGCTAAACTGGGAATTTTTTAACTTCTTAATGTGTTGTTGTTTTTTAAGTTCAATCAATCAATCAATCAAATTTTATTTATATAGCGCCAATTCCCAACAGTCGTCATCCCAAGACGCTTTTCAAAGAACAAGAGCAGGTCTAGACAGCGCTCATTGTTTGATGAATTATCAAGAATAAGGTGACCAGATTTCTGTAATGAAATCCGGGGACATTCGATGCAGCGGGGTGCGGCTACTATTTAGTAGCAGCACATTCCCCTTGTAATAACCCCTGTACTCCGTAAAAACTGTTGTTCAGGACTGCTTACTTGTGCTTTCTACCCATTCGGCTACTGTAATAACCGTTGTTCTAGCCTACACGCAACATTTTTGTTCTCATTCATGAAACGCTTAAATCAGGGACATTTTGGGGGACAGTTTTTGCCGGGACAGGTCATCCAATTCGGGGCCTGTCCCCGGAAATCGGGGACGTCTGGTCACCTTAATCAAGAACCAACCTAAGATGGGTTTTAGCCTTTCTCATCTAACATGAGTAACAGTGGCAAGAAAACACTTCCTTTTAACAGGCAGAAACCTTGAGCAGTGCCAGACAGCCACCATACCGCTGCTGGGTTGGGGAGGAATGTAGAGAGATGGGGGGGGGAAGAGAGAGAGAGAGAACAAGATAAGGGGAAGGAGAGAGAGAGAATAAGTAAGGGAGAGGGAGGGGGAGGAAGAGAGAGTAGAGAACGAGGGTGAGAGAGAGAGACGGGACAGCAGCAACATTAAAACAACAGCAACAACAACAACAGCTCATGTAATGGTGAAACAAAATGAATTCAGTTTACAGGGTTAGGATATGAGTGATTATGGACAATGTTAAATTCATTAAATGTGATTACAGTTAGCAGGCCTAATAGTAGTCAACTCTAGTTTTATGTTATTAATGTCAGTGAGGCTGATGTTCATGTCTGCAGTAACAGTCCAGAGGAACTCAAGAGAAGAAGGAGCTCAGGGCCTGAGGCGGACAATCATAGACGATGTGGCTGGAGTCAGGCAGGTCTGTAGCAGCCATCAGTCCAGAGCAACCTAGGAGACTGAGGCTCAGAGACATACAGAGAGATCTGGTTTGCAATTTGATGCGAGAAAATGACTTCAATGTACAGGATAATGAAGTAACTAATTATGGACTATGTTAAATTAATTTAAGGTGATTAAAGTTAAAACTCAATGGCAGTTTACTCTAATTTTATTTAATAGATGTTAGTTAGGCTGACGTACGTGTCTGCAGTAACAGTCCAGAGGAGCCTAAGAGATGGAGGAGCTCAGGGCCTGAGGTGGACAATCAAGGATGATGCAGCTGGGGTCAGGCAGTTCCGCAGCAGACCGTCTGCAGCATTAGTCCAGAGGAAGCTAAGAGACTCAGAGACACCCAGAGAGACAGAAATCTGGTTAGTGACTTATATGGGACATAAAGATCTAAAGAAGAGATAGAGACAGACTCTGGCTCAATGTGCCAGATAACCCCGGCAGTCTAAACCTATAGCAGCATAACTAAGCGCTGGTTCAAATCAGCCTCAACTATAAGCTTTATCAAAGAGGAACATTTTAAGTCTACTCTTAAAAGTTGAGAGGGTGTCTGCCCCCTGAACCTCGAGCGGTAAATGATTCCAGAGGAGAGGTGCCTGGTAGCTGAAAGCTCTTCCTCCAATACTACTTTTAGAGACATTTGGTACAACGAGCAGACCTGCAGATAGGTAAAAGTAAGGTACAACAAGCTCGTTGAGATATGATGGAGCCTGGCCATTAAGCGCTTTATATGTCACAAGGAGGATTTTAAACTGAATTCTAGATTTAATAGGGAGCCAATGAAGAGAGGCTAAGACAGGAGAGATGTGCTCCCTTCTTCTGGTTCTGGTCAATACCTGAGCTGCTGCATTTTGGACCAGCTGAAGAGTCCTTAAAGACTTACTGGAGCAGCCTGATAACAGAGAATTACAGTAATCCAGCCTAGAGATAACAAAGGCATGGACTAGTTTTTCCGCATCACTCTGAGACAGGATGGGTCTAATTTTTGAGACATTGCACAGGTGGAAAAAAGCTGTCCTAGAGATTTGTTGAATGTGGGAGCTAAAGGACAATTCCTGATCAAATAAAACTCCCAGATTTCGCACAGTGGGGCTGGATGCCAGACTGATGCCATCTAGCATAACTATATTATTAGAGAATGCCTCTCTAAGGTTTTTAGGACAGAGGACAAGAACTTCAGTTTTGTCTGAGTTGAGCATCAGAAAGTTATTGGTCATCCAGGATTTTATTTTTACAAGCTTCTAATTTAGTAACCCGATTTGTTTCTTCTGGCTTCATGGATAAGTATAACTGGGTGTCATCTGCATAACAGTGGAAATTAATCGAGTACTTCATAATTTTACCCAGAGGAAGCATGTACAAGCTAAAGAGTTGGTAAAAGTTGGTAAAAGGTAAAAGTTGTGAATATCAAAGTTTCAGAGTCTTGTCATGTCATGAGAAATTGTGCAGATGAAATAATCTTGACTCAGATAATGAAGCCTCTCATAAAGTTTATCATGACTGGACAGTCATCTGGGTCACTGTGGTTGTCTTTTTGAAAAACTTATCAAATGCAAATATTATGATATCAACAACCCTACTCTGGCAGTAACTTTTTGACTTTTATGGTAAACGTTCGACCAGTCTGCTGATTCTATGCAGGGAAAAATCCCATCAGTAGTTTCCCCACACTGTCAATCTTAGTTCCCAACTTATCAGGTCTGCTTTTTAAAGTTTCATGGGGCATTCACACCAAGCACAAGTAAAATTGCACATCTCTAGACACGTGAATGAAAAGTATTTACTCGCTTTATTTGTGATCAGGTGATAGACAACGGTTTTTCACAGTTTACCAGATATTCCAACCTCCTCACTCCCTTTCCTCCAGGCGAGCTCCTTTTGATTACTGTTTTTTTTAAAAAGCCATGGGTACGAGGGAAGGGGGGAGTTTTCATCAAACATGATAGGAGTGAACCACATGTAGCGGATACAGCCATCATCAGCTGCACCCTGATGATGGCTGTATCCAGTGGTATTTTCGGGTTGCCCGAACCCAAGTTGATGACCTGTTGATGAGGGTTGGTGCCAGGATATTCCTCCAGGATACCAATTACAGGCTCTCTATCCCAGCTGCAGAGTGCCTGTCCATCTGTCTACTGTGAGTAAAAGGATTTGTGTATATATTTTCACACCAGTGAACATCTTCTGGTCCTTTTTCATATGTCACCAGGGGATCTTCATGCTTATTGGTTATTGCGACATGAATAAGTTGAGATATTTTCAACTCTTGGGAATTCATGTCTGCTCAATTCGTGCGATTCACATCACCCAATCCGCATCATTTGCGCTGCCAGAGCAGTACGAGCATCAAATCCCGTCTTTGCATTGACTTAACATGTAATTCTTTCCTGGAATGATTTTACTTGTGCTTGGTGTGAACACCCCATCACAGTCATGTTTGTGTTGTGATTTGAGCTTCAAATTCAGTTTCATTCAAAGACTGGTTTGGCTCTCAGATGAGTGAGAGGCACAGACCATAGACTGTATATAAGATGGACAGAGTCTGCCTCCTCGCTGCGTGAAGCCACTCCGAGAACAGCACCCTCTGATGGTGGGCTGCAGTACAGCTCATAAATCCCACCTCCGCCAGCAAAGCTTATGGGACTGTGGACAAACTTTAGAAATTTATTACACAGAACATACATTTTTCTCCCCCCTGGTTGTGATGTTGTCATATAGTTACAGTAAGACTGGTTTGTGCCCAAGTCCTTTTTTTTTTCTGTACAGCTCCGTTTTTAAAAGTTATTAGGGGGTTCATGTTTTCTATGATTGACACCTGGTACAGCCTATGGGCGTTCAGGGATTGCGTAGCTCTTCCGGGGGAATACGCTGTTTGAGCTGAGCGTCATCACAGGGACTCTCGGCGACTGCGCGGCCGAATGTGCACAACGCTACTGCACAGCTCTGGAGAGCTTTTTGGCTTCAAATCCGTATACAGGCGGAAGGCGGAACCACGGTGTCCATCTTATATACAGTCTATGGCACAGACACAGACAAAGGTTGAACATCCTCATACAATACAGCAAATAAGTCATTCAATCTTTTTTTAGAAGCTGGAGATTGTGTTTTGTAGCCTGCTCTGTTACCACAATAACCCTCACATGCATATTGCCTAAAAACCACTCTAATAAGTAGTTTCAGTCACTAAGGGCTCTATTTTCGTGTACGCCGGTGAGGGGACAGAGGGCGGCGAGCCCTGTGCAGTTGTATTTTCGTATTTTCGTGGACTGAGGCGCACGGAGGCGAGCCGAGATCTGCCTAGCTGGACGTGGTGGCATGGCAGGGGGAGGTGTCGACAGAATCAGTGGGCGCAGTGACATTTTTGTGCTCGCCACCGGCGTGTAAAGTGCGCTGAAAGCTCGCCGATTCAAACCTGGTCAGCTTTCAGCGCAGGCGGAACGCAGCTGGTCTAGTAGTATTTTGGTAGACCGGCGGCGTATTGGCATACATCACTGATGCCTCACCGGCAGGTTTCCACAGTGTCAGGCACATTTCAGTGCAATAAATAATCAATAACAACTAATAATCAGAGTCAGCACATACATTTAGATCTATATATTCTGATCCATATCTGATCTGATGAGCGCGTTTGGCACACGTTTGGACAGACAACCTGACTGAATCAACACAGCTGAAACCGCATTAAATTGAATTAAATATCTAGTAAATAGACACACATGATGAAGTTAACTAGATATGTAATTCGTCTCACTCCTTTTCTTTCTTCCTCTTCCCCTTATTTCTCACGCAGTTCGACCTGGACACGTCTCTGTGTCCTCTTTCTGTCCTGCAGCGGCTGAACAGATGATTTGTTTCAGTTCCCAGATGCGTTATCTACTTTAAGCCGACATACGGATATTATAATATTCAGTTTTGTGAAGCAAATTTATTTTATATGCCAACATCTATGAAAGAAAGAGCCAGGCCACGGAGCACGATGCGTCATTTACGCACAGATGGTTCCAATTTTAATGCCATTATTGGAATTTATGTTGTGATCTCTGCGCACAACCCACCTTTGTCACGTGAGGTTTGAATATGAACAACTTTATGTGAGTGTCTTTATTTGTGGAAAAGGGTGTTTGTCTTACCAGTGGGTCGAACATTACACACACCAAATCCATCTGTGCTCATATGAGAGAGTGTGGAGGACGCCCAATGCAGCGCTTACAGTGACACTAGTTAAGGAGCTGCCCTCTGTCGCCATCTTGTTGCATTACTGTCTTCAGACATCTCTTGATCTCTTTGACTACTTCACGAAAATGGTAATACACCTCGCCTGTGGTGGATTTAAAGGCAAGGAGAGGAGCTTATGTGATTGGTGAAAACAGGTCTCGGCTGTGTTAAACCCACTCCACGCCCTTTCTCCTCCCTCGCTATGACTTACGCCGCTGGGAGGAGCTGAGTTAGGGATGGGGGATACTTACGCCGGGCTCCGCTGCTCACCAAAATACCAAATTGTGCTTGGGAACGCCTTGTCGGCTTGGCAGACCTGACTTACGCCGCGCCTGCAGCACGTCTCCGGCGAGGCACGAAAATAGAGCCCTAAGAGTTCAGACAAACAAGTCAGATCTCCTTAGACTAGTTTGCTGTGTTTACCATGTTTATCCTTTTGTAGCGGGCCTGTTGGAGGTCATCCAGAATGGGAAGCTCCTGGGAGAGATGCATCCTGGAACAGCTTTTGGAGAGCTGGCCATTCTGTACAACTGTAAGAGGACAGCAACGGTGAAATGTAAGTCAAAGCAGAAGTTTCTCTGAAATAAAATGAACTCAGCTGCAACTTGCACTTGTGCGTTGATGTAGCTCTACATTATGAAATGAAATGAGCAGTGTCCACCATGCTGCTCTTGCCTTCATAGTGTCTGTTCTGTGTGTGTGTGTGTGTGTGTGTGTGTGTGTGTGTGTGTGTGTGTGTGTGTGTGTGAGTGAATCTTTGTTGTACGTGTTTATTGTCTTTACACACATTGTCCCACAGTTGCATTTTTAGTTGACATGTTCAGCATGAATCTGGATTTAGAGCCCCAGTCAGGCCCAGAAAAACCTGGCTGAGTACAGAAATACGCCCACAGTCCTAAATGTTTCCATTTGTGGGATGAATGTCAATAGCATCATCTCATTCCTAGAGACAAAGGAATCAACCTTTTTTCCAAAACACTGCAGTGCTTGAAATGAACTTTATTACTCAGTAGTGCTGGTGCTTTTCACTTCAAAAAGGTGAGCACACCAGTGAAATGAAGGAGAAGCCTACTGGAGTGTCACAACTACAATACACAGCGAATGCTTTGTTACGTGTGACCTCTGTCCCACAGCCTGTTCAGTGAATATGGTGTATTTTTCCATTTTATAGTAGAGCCATTTAAAGTAGTTGATTAGTAATGCCTGCTTAGAGGGTTAGAATTATGATGTCATGATACAACCATAACATCTATCATAGAGAAATGTACCACAATGATTATTTCTGCTCTCACAAATTTGCTGCAATGTGTTCTGTAAAGTATGTGGCAGATATCATGTCAATGCAGAGCCCTGCAGATTTTCAAAATCACCTGCTAAAGACCATTAAAATTAACCACTTTAAGGAATATAATCTACATTACACTGTGTGCTTCATTCTGCATGCAAAAGTTTTAACAGAGATTCCTTATAATGTATAGAGTGTCAGATACTCTCACTGCAAAATGCCAGTGATTATTCCTGTTTTTTTACTCTAACGTGACGTGCAGGATATCCCTCAGAGCACAGACCACAAAGCTTCTGTTTGTGATCAGAAGAACAAAAGGGTGATTTAAGTCCTGATCTCACTGTATTCTTCAATCTGTTGTAAGAAGTGAGAGACACATGTGGTGCTTCGTCAGACATCAAATAAAACCCTCCATCCAGAAGGACCCTTGTCTGTCCTCCTCATGACACATCAGCGTGTTGAAGGAGTAGTTAATGGTTACACTCTCATCCAGCTGTGTCCCAGTCTCACATCTGGGCTCTGGACCGCCAGACTTTCCAGACCATTATGATGAGGAGCACACAGGCCCGACATGAAGAGTACTTCAACTTTTTGTGCAGGTATGCACACAACCAACACTCTGAGTGTCTTATTTCAGCTACAAACACACACACATGTTCACAATGCATACTTTAAGAGTTCATGAGGTGTTTTAAATTACTGCTTCTCAAGATGTCATTACTAAACAGTGCCAAAAACTGCTGTTAGGAGTCGAGCATCATCAGAGCTTAGAATCTATATAACACTTCACGATAGCAGCCTCATAACAAATATATAATGAATGATTAGTTAACATTAGTTAAAAGGTTCATTGTGTGTAAGCCCTCATTAAACTCTCATGGAGAAGCTAAAGATGACTTAAAAAGAACACAGTTACTTCTGAATTATTGACCCATTACCCATCATTGGTCACTCTCTTGTACCCTCGCTGACTGCAGTCTATTATCAAAAGGCCGTGCAGTCCTTTGGAAAATTGAAATTGTCATCTAAATGTTAGACATAGAAGTCAGTCTAAATCACTTTTTCAACTAAGAATGAGGGCAGGTCAGCTGACGGCAAATATAAATATAATGCCAATGTCACACTGCATTTGACTGATTAGTAGAAGCGTGTGTCTCTGAGGGTGGCAGTATACCAACGTCCAAGGCTCTTTACTGTTTTTTCCAACACAGTTGGTATGGGTTCCTTGCCCATGTAAAACAGCAGTTCTGAGAGCTCCCCCTTGTTGACTGAAATGCTTCTGGACTTGCTCGGTTTGATTTCCCACTGGATGTTGTCCTGTAGCTTGCTTAACAACAGTCTTGCACAGGCCTTGGTAGTGGTGAGAATGGTAAAATCATCATATATGCCCAGACAGGAGGAAGGCACAGGCCACACCTGGGGCCTCATGTATCAACACTTGCGTGGAACTCATACCAGAAACGAGCGCACGCAAGGTCCGTCACGCTGAAAAAAATCCGTATGTATCAATGTGTGCGGGCGCCGAAATCCACGTGTGTTTCCTTGATAAATCCCAATCAGCGTGGAATTGAGCGCAGATGTCGGAGTGACTGGGCCCGTCCCCGTAACGCCCTCCTATAAATATGCAGATTTATTTAAATAGGGTCTCCCTGTCCTCGCACGCAGACAAAATGACAAGAAAAACTAAATTTACGGCGTGCGAGATGGAGGTGCTGGTGGCGGAGGTGGAGGAGCGACAGCGTGTTTTGTTTGGCAGCCTGTCCAGTGGCGTCAGTGCAAAACAAAAACGCTTGGAGTGGGAGAAAGTTTGCGAGAGGGTGAATGCGGTGGGTTCCGAGACACGCACCCCCACGAAGATTAAAAAAAGTGGTCGGACCTCAAGGTGGAGGTCAAGCTGCGTACAGCTGCCCTCCGGAGGAGTACTGGCCAGACAGGTGGGGGTCCGGGGGAGGAGACCCTCACGCCGTTTGAGCAGCGGGTGGTGGCGATTATTATTATAGGGTAAGTGGCGTGTCACACAAATGTCCACATGCTTTGTCATCCCACTGAGCAAAAGACGTATATTAGACGTCTAGTCTAAGTTTATACTTCATTTCAACGTCAGGATTCTGTCTATTTTTAGACGTGATTTATACTTCGCCCTTAACTTCATTTTTCGATAACTTTTTATGCAATAAACAACTGTAATGTGCATAACTGACCTCTAAATACTGGATTACATTACCTATGATACCGTGGAGAGAGATGTAAACGCAACAGATACACAGAAGCAGGAATTGAAATGAACAAATATTTTTATTGTGTCACAGAAATCAATGTGTCGGCCGTGTCGCCGGCTTGCGGAACCCCGGCCCGCGGCAGCCCGTCTGCCGGCTCGGAGTCGTCGGCCAGGACCAGCGGCTTTCGGGCCACCCCGGCCCCCGGCCCCAGCACCAGCACCAGCATCAGCACCAGCGGAGGGGGTCCTGCAATCGCAGGAAGAAATCATCAGGGGGATCGCGGGGATCAACGAGCGGCTGGACCGGCTCGTAAATGTCCTCGAGCGTCTGGTGGAGAAAATAAATTAATTTGGCTCCTTGAACTGTGTATTCACTTCTTACCCATTCACACTGTGGCGATGAGATTCTCCCGCGCGAGGACGGCGGCCCGGCAGGGATCAGCTCGCATCCCTCCGTTTGCTGCTGGTTCGTCATGTGGGGCGACATGCTGCTCGGCCACGGGGATGTGGTGCACGCTTGTCACATAGTGAGTCACCAAACACCGCCACACAGCGTCGCCAAAGTGCGAATCACAGTCAACGCAAATATCAGCTCAACGCCAATTTCTACACCACCTCCTGACTTTGCGTTGATTAGCGCTGGAACCGACGCTCGTTTCGCGATGATAAATCTGGACGTGTGCGCCGATTTTGGCGTACGCAAGGTTTTCTTGCGCCGCAAGCGTTGATACATGAGGCCCCTGGAAGCTCGGATGATGACCTCCATAGGCATTGTAAAAGCCAGTGGCAGGATGGCGCATCCTGCCATTATCCCTACTACTTGGCAAAAGAAAGCTGTTCAGGGGAGGTTGTGTGGAACTGAACTGAAGGCATTGGCTAGGGTGATCATATGTCCTTTTTTACCTGGACATGCCCTCTTTTTGGGTGCTGTCCAGCCTGTCCAGGAGGAGTTTATAAAATACTTCAAATGTACGGGGGTTTCCAGGAAGTTTTGAGTCTGTGTAACGTGGACTAGCTGAGTTAGAAGTGCGTAAAAATCACTCGATCCGACTCGAAAAACCTTCAAAATTCTGGTCATCCAGGTCCTTATGTTTCTAATGCATGCTTCTACTTTAGTTATCTGATCTGTCCCATTTAGCATCATAGATATGTATTATTGTGTGTTGTCTGTATAACAGCTAAAATATATGGAGTGTTTCTGAAAGGTCATTATTGAGAGTGTGTACAGTTTAAAGAGTGAAAAGAATCAGTTTAAGCACCAAACCTCAGTGAGCACAGAGGACGGTTAGTTCCAATGTACAAACTGAAATCAGTCGGGTGAACATAACTGAAGTCAAACCTTTTTTTATTCAGTTTTATGGCTTGTAGTTTATGTCTCTTGTTAAGACTGAGACATTGTCAATGAAAAATAATTAATTATTAACTAATTGTGTTTTCATGTGTCTGACATAGTCTATTCTGTGATCTTTCTTTACATTTCCAAAGTACTGCCAAGCTGGTACTTTATTATTTAAAAAAAATTACTCAATCTTTAGTTTTTTTGATAAAACTTTTGTTCCTTGTTAAATTAACCCTTGAATTTTGTTTTGGGTGCCTAATTGTCCTTGTCACAAAGTGTATCTCTGCTGAGAGGATTGCCTGAAGAGAAACTAGCCAGGATTGTTGATTGTTTGGAAGTGGTGAGTATTTCAGTTTTTTCTGACCTAATTGATTAGATTCAGATTCATTTAGAGGGACAAGAGAGCCATTGACTTTGTGTCTTTTCAGGACTGTTTTGAAAAAGGAGAGTATATTATTCGAGAGGGTGAAGAAGGAAATACATTCTTTATCATTGCAAACGGAGAGGTGAGACACCAGAATCGTATCTGTGATGCATGCTTGATAGAGAAGCGGTCAGATTTGAAAACTACCAGTAAATTAAAAGGAATTCAGTACCCAGGGTTTGTCATGAAAAGCCAAGATGATCAGGTGTGGAGGTAGCATCCTTGATCAGGACTGACCAAGGATGCCAAAAGATGAGGACCCCGTTACCTCTGTCTCCGTACACACCTGCCTCACCTCAGCCTAGCATGGGCCCAAAGCTCCAGCCTGTGATGTCATCAAGTGTTCCATCACTCACACTTTCTTGAGTACATGCAAGAGCGGACATACCAACCATCATGCCCATACATCTGAATGAAGACTGAACAGTTCCCCTTATTCACACAGTACAAAATATAGCCATATAATCATGCAACAAAAAATAGATCATCTGGTTTTGCTCACACATTCACCTTTTTACAGATATCCTTCTAAAACGCATTTCTTTTGGCAATGCTAAGATGTCTTGGTGGAGAGGCCCATTTGCCTCCTCCACCAAGACCTCCAACTCCTTAGCTTGAAACTTCATTTTTCATCCACAGCCACTCTTTTCTCCAAAACTCTCCATGGTGACAGCTGGTAGCACATGCAAAATACTCCTTTAAATAGGGTGGTCAATCCCACGTGCAATCATAGTAGATCACCTGCAAGGGAGTGTTATTTGGGATCTTAGTAGGTCAGGCCCATTGTGTATAGTTAAATTTTTTAAGACCCACTAACAGGATAAATCAGTGTCTAATACTGCTGAACTTTTTACAATAAGCACCACTGAGCTCAGTGAAATGTTGGTTGTTGATGGCCTTTTTCCTCTTTTTGTTTGTAGGTAATCGTTACTCAGAGTACCGAGGGGTTTGCTGAACCACAGGAAATCAAGACGCTGGGAGTAGGAGACTACTTTGGAGAGAAGGCTCTCATCAGGTATGAACAACATCTTCAAGGGCTTTAAAACTTGAAACCTTTTTCACAGACACACAGCATCACACAAAACACCAGATTTAGAGTACAGAGTTAAATCTTTTATGTACTCCCCTGTCCGTACTTGGCCATTTATTTACACACTCTGAGAATGTTAGTTGTCTGCGTCTACTGCCTGTTAACCTGGGTCAAATATAAATAGTATATAATGCAAATAAATTATGATAAAATTACATTTTGATGAGTTGTTTCAGTAAGTCCAGCATCACCCTGACTGACCTGACTGTATGAGGGCACAGGGAGATGTGAGGAGTCCTTATCAGGAAAATACAAGGATTTCAGCAGGATTTCTGTCTGACTGTTGTATCATTTATGAAACTGGCCTTCAATCCATACCAACCACTCAGCTGACAGAGCTGTGTGACATGAACACACCCTCCACTTAGCATAGTTGATCTAAGCTGATGCTAGAGGTCATTTGTGGGTCATTTAAAGACACGTCTCATTATACTGAAGAAATAGCTGTGTGTGTGTTTGGGTTCGTGTTGCATGTGGTTGACTGAACTGTGTATGTTTATTTGCAGCGAGGACGTTCGTTCTGCTAACATCATCTGCAATGAGAATGACACACACTGCCTGGTGGTGGACAGAGAGTGAGTTCAAAGCAGCATATAAAGCAACTCTATACGTTAAGGCCTTTGTAATTAGCTGTAATTAATGGTTAATAAAAATAGTTAATAGTTAAAAAAAGGATTTGTATTGTAGATATATACACTCACCGGCCACTTTATTAGGTACACCTGTCCAACTGCTCGTTAACACTTAATTTCTAATCAGCCAATCACATGGCGGCAACTTAGTGCATTTAGGCATGTAGACATGGTCAAGGCAATCTCCTGCAGTTCAAACCGAGCATCAGTATGGGGAAGAAAGGTGATTTGAGTGACTTTGAACGTGGCATGGTTGTTGGTGCCAGAAGGGCTGGTCTGAGTATTTCAGAAACTGCTGATCTACTGGGATTTTCACGCACAACCATCTCTAGGGTTTACAGAGAATGGTCCGAAAAAGAAAAAATATCCAGTGAGCGGCAGTTCTGTGGGCGGAAATGCCTTGTTGATGCCAGAGGTCAGAGGAGAATGGCCAGACTGGTTCAAGCTGATAGAAAGGCAACAGTGACTCAAATAACCACCCGTTACAACCAAGGTAGGCAGAAGAGCATCTCTGAACGCACAGTACGTCGAACTTTGAGGCAGATGGGCTACAGCAGCAGAAGACCACGCCGGGTGCCACTCCTTTCAGCTAAGAACAGGAAACTGAGGCTACAATTTGCACAAGCTCATCGAAATTGGACAATAGAAGATTGGAAAAACGTTGCCTGGTCTGATGAGTCTCGATTTCTGCTGCGACATTCGGATGGTAGGGTCAGAATTTGGCGTCAACAACATGAAAGCACGGATCCATCCTGCCTTGTATCAACGGTTCAGGCTGGTGGTGGTGGTGTCATGGTGTGGGGAATATTTTCTTGGCACTCTTTAGGCCCCTTGGTACCAATTGAGCATCGTTGCAACGCCACAGCCTACCTGAGTATTGTTGCTGACCATGTCCATCCCTTTATGACCACAATGTACCCAACTTCTGATGGCTACTTTCAGCAGGATAATGCGCCATGTCATAAGGCTGGAATCATCTCAGACTGGTTTCTTGAACATGACAATGAGTTCACTGTACTCAAATGGCCTCCACAGTCACCAGATCTCAATCCAATAGAGCATCTTTGGGATGTGGTGGAACGGGAGATTCGCATCATGGATGTGCAGCCGACAAATCTGCGGCAACTGTGTGATGCCATCATGTCAATATGGACCAAGCTCTCTGAGGAATGCTTCCAGCACCTTGTTGAATCTATGCCACGAAGAATTGAGGCAGTTCTGAAGGCAAAAGGGGGTCCAACCCGTTACTAGCATGGTGTACCTAATAAAGTGGCCGGTGAGTGTAAATATATATGTGTAAATATATATATATATATATATATATATATATATATATATATATATATATATATATATATATATATGTAAATAAATAAATATATATATATATGTAAATATATATATATATATATACAAATCCTTTTACTCACAGTAGACAGATGAACAGGTGGAATATCCTAGCGCCGACCCTCATCAATATACATATATATATATGTAATGTACTATATTTATATTTTTTTACACCAGTGAACATCTTCTGGTCCATTTTCATACATCACCTGGGAATCTTCATGCTGTTTGGTTATCGCGACACAAATATCAAATTGAGATATTTTCAACTCTTTCAACTAAATTTGCACGAGTAACTCGCTTAAATTGCGCAATTCACACCGCCCAATTTTAGTCATTTGCACCACCAGAGTAGCACAAGCTTATATCACTTCTTTTTTTTACTCGCACTTGGTGTGAGCGCCCCTCTAGAGTTAGTGGTCTGTTAATAGTGAACAACATTCTAGTAAGAGCTTAAGGGTGCACTTGTAAGCATTAATAAACATTGGTTATGATATTGATAAAGACTTACACAGTCATATCAGTGTTGACAAAAGTTAATTAAAAGTTAGGAGATGACTGTACACCACAATTTTTACGTAATCAGTTCCCTATAGGTTTGCTACAAGCCATGAAATAATGGTCATTAATCTTTGATTAACCTTTATGAAGTTCATTAACATCTTCTAGGTGTCTATGAGGTGTATACAAGAGACAAATTTTCTCGATTTTAATTAAATCCATGATTTTTTTTTTTTACAATTTCATTGGTAAATGTTAATTTCCAGGATTTAGCGTTTTTTTCTTGATTTTGCTCTCTGAGAATTTTCAGTAGATGAAATCAAAACTCTACAATTTCAGTCCGTAAATCTTCTGTCAAATTCACAAAGTTTGAAAACTAAAAAAGTACATTGCATATCTGTGTGGTGCCACAGTCGAGTGGAGCAGCAGACAGCCTACAGTTATACAATGTACTTTTAAAGCACTCTCTGGTTTGGCTGAACTTGAGTATCATGATTGAGACAATGGCTAAAAAAGTAGACAAATGAGCTCTTTAAAACACTCTGTTATCTTGCAAGCGTGAAGCACAATAAAAAGACATTTCAAGCACAATAAATACACAGGGTCAGAAATACAATAATTTCCGATGCTATAAAGACAATGAAATAATTTGAACTTTCTTTGCACACATCACAGTGAAAGCTTTTCATGTCTCTGTGTCTCCAGTAATTTCAACCAGATGGTGGGAACCTACGAGGAGTTGCAGGCGTACCTCAAGGAGTACGTGGAAGAGCTTTCCAGGAGTGATGAGAGGAGGAACGCTCTGTAAGTGCACAATGACAGACAGGAAACAGACAATACAACCTCTCTGTGCCCCTGTATGACTGTGAATAATGTCCTACTGTAAAGTGATTGTAATGGTAATTTTGACATCACATTTCAATACAATATGTTTCAGTTTGAGTGGTGATTGCTTGGGTCTTGGTTTATTGAACAAAGATACAATAATAATCCCCCGCTTCTCCTCCCTCAGCCCGCACTCTCCTCAGATCGACTCTGCAGAGGCTCAGGAGCTGAAGAGGCTGAGGGAGAGGATCAGTCTGCTGCCTTCACGTCAGCCTTTCCAGGAGCTGGAGGTCATAGCTACGCTGGGCATGGGAGGGTTTGGACGGGTGGAGCTGGTGAGCTGCAGAAACTCCTTAATAACCCTGTAAATAGAAATGAAAAGACCAATCTTTCAATCAACACTAATATTGCCTCTGACCGATGAACAAGAAAAACGGTGCTAGGAAGCATTACCAATTCCTTATATATATATTTTTTTTTGTATTTCAGTTCAAATATTATTATTTTTCAATAACTGATAATGACAGAAGTGTAAACATATTTTAATAATATTTTATATGCCTTTTACTTGTCCATTTCATACCACCAAGTGCACAGAATCAAAGACCAAAAAAGTGCAATGCTGAAGCTCTGGGTTTTTTTCTGGTTACCCTGGACTATCCATAGTAAGTCAAAACCAAATAAATCAGTGATATTCATCAAACACTTTATCAAACCTGATCCAGAGGGCTGTGCAGTAAACACACACAGGAAAAAAAAGCAAGTAATAGAAACAAACACAAATAGAAGTAGAGAGAGGGACAGAATGAAATAGAGTTCATGATAGGATGATACCAACAGTGACATAAATAATAAACAATACTGCACTGAACATCATCTAAGTAATAGTACCACAATAGTATAAAGCTTAAACTGACAGCTTCTGCTTTCTCAGACCACTGTAGAGACTGATGATCCATGGTGCTGCACACATCCTTGATGATGCAGAGACTCACAAAACCGTTTGTTAGTTTATCATACTATTTTTTCGAATCTGATGTTTTAAATATGACCATTTTTGCTTGTGCACAGTCTCTGACAAATATGTTTTGACTCCTCGGTTGGGTTCACACTAACCATTGGGGTTTGTCTGTTTTGTGCAATGTTCTTAGAAGTGATTCTTACATTCCTTAGTAGGGTTGATAAGAATACTCACCTTCTGTGTTTTAAAGGTGAAGCTGAAGGATGAGGACACCACCTTCGCTCTGAAGCGCATCAAAAAGAAGCACATTGTGGACACCAGACAGCAGGAGCACATCTACTCTGAGAAAAACATCCTTCAGCAGACAAACTCAGGATTTATCATCAGGTCAGTGCCACAGATTACAGTATGTGTAGTATTTCCTAAGATAAAACATCAATCACATCTCAGCTCTATGTTCAAGTGTTGATTTTTTTCTTTTCTATAATCACAGCTGTAAAATTCTAATAAAATAAGAAAAAAAAGAAGAAAGTAAGGAAATGGGTCATTGTGTTGGTTTCTCAGAAAAGTTGCTAAGGAGCTCACTGTGAGAATGCTGCTAACCACTACTTGTAGATTTATTGGGACTTTGACTCCTCAGGACAAAGAGCTTGTTTAAACAGACTGTTGACCATCAGCAGGACAGAAAAGTTCAAGTAAAATGTAAAGTGTAAAATGTGATGTTCACTCTGGTTTACCAACTTCAGCAGTCCTCCTCTCAGTGAGTTTCTCTTTTAAAGCTTCAGGGTCTCTTTTCTTCTTTTGTACAGGATCCAAAAGATGTTGGTGATCATTGGCTTTTAACTTTACAGGTTCAGAAACTTTATACAACCTCTATTCCTAAAAAGAACCATCAAGATTTGTTTTAATCCAAATTTACACAGTGTTCCAACTTTTAGGGGGATGGGTTGTACATAAAGCCTTGGCAGTTTTAATCTGCACCTATTCATCTTTGTAGCCTCATACAGGTGACCTCTGTGATTGATTGTTATTTACCATACAATACAATTTACTGGTATATAAATCTCATTATATATACCAGTAGGGAAACTTTTGTTTTATTCCTAGGGGTGCTGCTGTATTTACGATTATAGGTGAAACTTCTGGTGATATAACAGACAGTGAATAAAGTTGGTTAATCTTAGTGAAGGAACATCAGTAGCAGTTGTTTTGAATCTAAAATATCTCCATTTTCCTTGTTTTTAACACATGCATTTGGAAATGTCTTCACATAGTTCTGTTATGTGTTCCTGTGACCTTTGCTTTTACTTGGCTTTCAGACAGATGAAAATCTATATACTAATGATGTTCATGGTGTTCACGGAGTCATGGCTGAACGAACTCACTCCGGACCCACTCGTTACTTTGGACGGATTTCATCTAGTCAGAGCGGACCGGAGCGTGAGGGAGAGTGGTAATAAGAAAGGAGGCGGGATAGCGGTGTATGTGAATGAGAGATGCTGGGCACGTCAGTGTTAAAGAGCAGCGCTGCTCTAAGGACATTGAGCTGCTGGCTGTGAGTTTGCGGCCATATTACCTGCCGACGAAGTTTTCGCACGTCATCCCTCGGCTGATGCTGCTGCAGCCTGTGAACTTCTCCACAGTGAAGTGTCCAAGCTACAAAAATTGCACCCTCAGTCTCTGATCATCATCTCTGGAGACTTTAATCATGCATCGCTCTCCTCCACTCTCCCTACCTTCAGCCAGCATGTGGAATGCCCAACAAGAGACAATAAAACTTTGGACTTACTGTATGCAAACACTAAGGATACATACACCTCCTCCCCCCTCCCCCCGCTGGGCCGCTCAGATCACAACCTGGTGAGACTGCAGCCCATTTACATACCTATGGTGAAGAAACAACCCCCCACCATCAGGTATGTTAAGAGGTGGTCTGAGGAGGCCACTGAGGCGCTGCAGGACTGTTACGAGACCACAGACTGGGATGTACTGTGCAGCCCACATGGTGATGACATCGACACCATGACCGACTGTATCACGGACTATGTAAACTTCTGTGTTGAGAACACCGTACCCACCAGGAAAGTACAGTGTTTCTCCAACAGCAAACCTTGGGTGACCCCGGAGCTTAAAGTCCACCTGAAGGAGAAGAGGAGGGTCTTTAAATCTGGGGACAAGGAGGAGCTGAGGAGGGTGCAGAAGGAGCTGAAGAAGAAAATCAGGGAGGGGAAGGCCAGCTACAAGACCAAGATGGAAAACCTTCTGCAACAGAACAACGCGAGGGAGGTCTGGAGAGGCCTGAAATCCATCTCAGGTCATAGCAGGGGCCACGAGAGGGGACCTGAAGCAGGACACAGGGAGTGGGCCAACGAGCTGAATCTGTTCTTCAATACATTTGACTCTGCTCCCACTCCTCCCCCGACTCATCAAACCAACGTCTGCTACCCCCACTACCCCCTCCAGCACCAACCCCAGCCTCTCCATAACAGCTGACCAGGTGAGAAGTGAGCTGAGGAAGATGAAGCCAAGGAAAGCCACGTGTCCTGACGGCATCAGCTCCAGACTCCTGAAGGACTGTGCAGACCAGCTCTGTGAGGTGCTACTGCACATCTTCAGCTTGAACCTGAGTCTGGAGAGGGTCCCGGCACTGTGGAAGACTTCCTGCGTGATTCCTGTCCCCACGACAGCACACCCCAGGGAGCCCAACCACTTCAGACCTGTGGCCCTCACTTCTCACCTGATGAAGACTCTGGAGAGGATCGTGCTGAGGAACCTCCGCCTCCTGGTGAGCTCTCATCTGGATCCTCTGCAGTTTGCGTACCAGCCGAACATCAGGGTGGACAACGCTGTCAACTACCTACTGCAGAGGTCCATGGCTCACTTGGAGAACACCAGCAGCACTGTGAGGGTCATGTTCTTTGACTTCTCAAGTGCTTTCAACACCATCCATCCTTCACTGCTCAGAGGGAAGCTTGAGAGGGCAGGAGTGGACTGTCACCTAGCCGCATGGACCGTGGACTACCTCACCGACAGACCACAGTTCGTGAGGCTTCAGAACTGTGTGTCGGACATGGTGGTCTGCAGCACGGGGGCTCTCCCCCTTCCTCTTCACCCTGTACACCTCAGACTTCAGCTACAACTCTGGGAGCTGTCACCTCCAGAAGTTCTCTGATGACAGCCATCGTCGGATGTGTATCATCAGGGGATGAGCGAGAATACAGGACTGTCATCACTGACTTTGTCAACTGGTGTGGCACAAACCACCTCCAGCTCAACGCCAGTAAGACAAAGGAGATGGTCGTGGATTTGGGCAGGAGGAGGACACCTCAGACTGTTCCAGTGAACATCCAGGGTGTGGACATTGAGATGGTGGAATCCTACAGATTCCTGGGTGTCCACCTCAACAATAAACTGGACTGGTCAACCAACACAGACGTCCTGTACAAGAAGGACCAAAGTCGTCTCCACCTGCTGAGGAGACTGAGGTCCTTTGGAGGGTGCAGGACTCTGCGCAGGACCCTGCTTTCTGTGATTCTGTGGTAGCATCTGCACTTTTCTATGCAGTGGTCTGCTGGAGGGCAGGGAGCACCAAGAGGGACAGGAAGAGACTGAACAGACTGGTTAGGAGGGCCAGTTCTGTCCTGGACTGTTCTTTGGACTCCCTGGAGGAGGTGGGTGAGAGGAGGATGTTAACAAAGCTTGTATCCATCATGGACAATCCCTCTCACCTGCTGCACCAGACTGTGGGGGCCTTAAGCAGCTCCTTCAGCAGCAGACTGAGACTCCCACCTTGCAAGATGGAGCTCTACCGCAGGTCATTCCTCCCTTCTGCAATAAGACTTTACAACAAACTGTAATAAAACTGGACTCACACCACCACTTTTTTCTGGCATTTAAATTGTGTATATTGTAGATAGTTTTATTTTTCTTCTCCCTTTTTCCTTTTCCTATTTTTTTTCTTAATTATTCCATTTATTTAAGTTCTTAATATTACAATCTTTATTTTTATACTTGCATTTTTGCACTCTTTGTCTGTGATGCTGCTGTGACAAAAGCCCCCACCACACACACACACACACACACTGCCCAATCCATATACATAGTTAAACAATAATAAAAATTTAGTCAAAGGAGAAGAAAAATAGATAAAAAAAACTGAGTAAACTAAGAAAATTGGCTGTTATTAAAAAAGTTGTCACAGGTCACACCCGTGTGATGCAATGGGATGCAAAGGACTTTTTTAGAAGAAATCAAAAGTGCATTTAATAGGTCAGATTTTATGGTACTTTTTGCAGGATCCGCAGGTTTCTCCAGCCCTCCCCTTGGTCCTGGGGTCAAATTCAATCTCTGAAAATTCAGGGACAAACATAAATGCTGCCAGTGTTTCACTCTTCAGATGTACATTAACAGAAACTCCGGTTTGTGTTTTAAAGTTAGTGGAGGGTCTTTTGGCTGTGTTTCAGATTATTCCGTACATTTCGGGACAATAAGTACGTCTACATGCTGCTGGAAGTGTGCCTCGGAGGAGAGCTGTGGACTGTGCTGCGGGACATGTGAGTGTAGGTCCTTTTCATGCATTTGTAACAACTATTCAGAAGTTTACACAAAAAGTAATGATAGGGTAAATAAATCCACCAGAAAAAAATCACAGCAGGTCATTGTGAAATATACACAAGAGCAGAGCTGGTAAAAAATTGAGGACTTTTTAAAATTTGATTGAGAAATAAAGGAGCTGTCTAAAAGTTTGCTCAATGTTGATCTAATTATAGAAAAATCTGAAAATAAAAAGTTGAATTTTGCAAAGCTGTCCACATCACACCACTTGTATGTTTTCTCTAACTTGTGGTGACATATTTTGTGTCTAGCTGGATCCTTCAGCCTTCATATGGTGGCAGGAAGTTGACTAAGGGCCTCATTCACTCTGAGATGAGCACATTTTTATCTCACTGCCCTGATCATTTTTCTGGAAGAACAGAAATGAAATGAAGACAACAGCTTCTCACAGTTTGACACTGATTTTGTCAGCAGTAATGGTCTTTAAGCATGGGCAGATGTTTAAGACTATTGTTTCTCAAGGAAATCAGCTGTCAACAGCAGGAGACTAATGGCAGTTGCTAAGTTATGATCATCATGGCAACCTCTGATTTTGTTTGTATCTGCTGACCCTCATTTATCACCGAACACATACAGAGAAAAAAAACATGTTTACACTTTTGAAGTACTTTGAAGACTTGGTTCCCATCATAAAAGTTCTTTCTTTTTAACACATTTACAGTTTCATTTCCTCCACCCTTATCCTCTTTATCTTTTTTCCTCTTTATTTCATCCTTTTTTTTAAATTATATGTAACGCTTACCTTTTCCACGTTATACTATAGGGCAAAAATAAGAGCAAAAATAAGCTATTCTAGCCATTATTCATATAAATATGGGATAACATACAAATGAAAAAACCTCAAAAAAAGCATTTTGCACTATGAGGAAGTATTATTTTACACAAGCAGGCAAGTGGGGCTGACTCCAGATGAGGTCAGGACTGTATAATGTGCCAAATATGGCGATTTTCGACCTAATGTACCACACATTTTGACTAATTACTCAAAAAGTTATGGAATGCCCATCCTGAAACTTGCAGGGATGCTAGTGGACATGATAGTCTTTTATAAGTGTGAATATGAAGAAAATTGAAGGACGCACGTTTTTTGCTATTTCCAATTTAAGTTTTTGGTATTTTCTAAATTTTTTCTGGTCCAATTTGGGAAAAAATGTTATGAACAAAAAGATAGAACTTGACGAGCGCTTCGAAATGACACCTGAATCAGCTCTCTAGGTGCCATACTTCCAGAGATATGAACACTTTTGTAATGCATGTCATGCTAGTTAGCCAAAAATTCATTAGCCCCTATCTCACTAATTAGATGGCTTTGAACAAAAATATTTGAGCTCTGACAGTTTCTCCTGAAGGCCAATCACTCCACAAAATGTCATCAAAATCTGTGACGTGAGTGGAGATTCTTGGTTGAATTGACATGGAATGACCCTATATATCTTTAATGCATCACTTTATTCATGCTGCAGTTTGTTACATTTCTTTTTTAAGATGGAATGGATTTTCCCTGTGAACCTGCAGCCTGTCAACATTATGACTTCTCTGTCCTTATATGTCAGGAGTTTTTTTGATGATGCCACAGCCAGGTTCTGCACTGGTTGTGTCTTAGAGGCTTTTGATTACCTCCACACTCTGGGCATCATCTACAGAGACCTGAAACCTGAAAACCTTCTTCTGGATGCTGAGGGTTATGTTAAAATGGTAAACAAGTCTAACTATTTGTTAAAGCATTGTCCCTTATTGTTGTTATTAATTTAGCATATGAATGACTTCTAAATATGTTCTGAACTCCTCTGCCCCACCTCAGGCTGACTTTGGATTTGCTAAGATAATCGGCCGTGGAAAGAAGACCTGGACTTTCTGTGGTACTCCAGAGTATGTGGCCCCAGAGGTCATCATGAGTAAGGGCCATGACTTTGGAGCTGACTGCTGGTCTTTAGGGATCCTCATATTTGAACTGCTCACTGGCAAGTAGGTCACTAAAGATGGAGTCAGTTACTGCTGAGGTACGTTAGCCGAGACTAAAGAGTTTCACTAGAAGAACAAATAGGTAGTGTCCTGTAAGAAAAGGTGTCCCAAAGTGTCATCCTTCCCTGGAAAGGTTTAGTTTGTTTAGCTTATCTTTTTAGTTTGGTCTAACTTTGCCTTGAACTTCACACACTTAAAGGCCTGTTTGTTTCCAGCCCTCCTTTTTCTGGCTCAGACCCCATAAAGATTTACACTATGGTCCTCCACGGCATTGAGAAGGTGGACTTCCCCAAGAGGATAGGCAAGCGTCCAGATGACCTTATCAGGAGGCTCTGCAGGTACGATGAACCCAAAGTGAGCGACCAATTATTGAAACACAGAGAGTGAATCATGGTGGAAAGGCTGCCTTGGGGCAGAGCAGGCAGTTTCATGAATAATTGTTACAATCTGCTGTAATGTTGTTAAACCACAGCTGAGAGCAGCAGTCACTGCTGCTCATCATCATATCCATCATGACTTTATCACAGACGTGTTAGGCGCTAAGTGAGTCTGCTGTGTTCGATTTATTACTCCATTTTGAAACTAATTCAATCCACTATCCACTACTGTCTTGTTGTTTTTTCCTAGCTGCTCTCTACAAACAAGAAAAAAAGAAAGAGACATTAAACCTGACATTAAGATGATGACCTGTTTTTCTCTCAGGTTAAACCCCGTGGACAGGCTTGGAAACAAAAAGAACGGCATCATCGACATCAAAAAACACAAGTACATTTACTGTTCTTATAAATGAACCTTAAAAAAAGACATACAGGCAAAGCTGTTCATTTGTAAATATTATAATCATGTTATAATTGATTAATCTCACTGAAAAGCACTTTTGTTTGCTTAGTATTTGGTGTTACTTTTAGCTTTTACCAGAGACAAGTATGCACATGGGTCTGCAATGTGGTATATTACATGAAAATGATCAATAAAATTAAATGAAGTGAAACCAAGTCCCCTTAAAACATTCATAATGTGATAAAAAAAAAGTTTAAATTTTCATTGGCTATCATGTGACAAGATAAAGTCATAATGAAACAAGATTAAAGTCAAGTAAAGTCAAAGTATTTTGCATTTCATTTTTATGTGACAACATTAAAGCCACATTGCTGAGAGAATAAATAACGGTCTCAGGGTATAATACTGTGGTAAAGTTATATTCCTGAGAGAATGAGGTTGTCATGTTTTGAGTTTTGAGAAAAAAGTGTGGATAAAGTGGTAGTTTTGGTTCACAGTGAGGAGCCTGTCTGGACCAAAATGAGGACCGTGAAGCATCTGGTTAAAGTGTTCCTAAGGTTTTGTCTCCTCGGCTCCACATTGTAATAGGTATCAGGACTCTGAAAAGACTGAGCAGGAAGCTGAGACAGGTGGTCTCCTCCTTCAAAACGACTATGAGGCTGATCATTGACTAAATTAGTGACTTTAATCCTGTAATTTCCTAATATGATGACTTTATTCTTGAAATCTCAAAATCAGATGACTGTTATCTGATTGAACTTGCACTTTTACACAACAGACTCTTTTGCTTAATTGCCTGTGTTTGTAGGTGGTTTCAGGGCTTTAACTGGGAGGGTTTGAGGCGCCACAAGCTGCCGTCTCCTCTGAGGAGAGAGGTGAGACAACTGCTGATGTCAAAACACAGAAAGGTCCAAAGTGAATGTTTTGCTTCAGATGCCTGATTGTTTTTTAATTTTCTTTTTTCTTAAAGGGGACCTGCAATCAAAATTTCATACCCATTTTTATTTTATTTTTTTTATAATCCTTGATGTCCTCTGATCATGTTTGCAACATAATTCTAGCTGAAAAGTTATTTGATGGTTTGTTTTAGTATGCCTAAAAAACCTTACAGGAAAACCAACTGATTTTGGCTCATTTAAGGTTAATGAGCTTTGCTCTGATTGGATCGCTGCTGTGAAGCCTGCTGTGCTCTGATTGGCTCAGCAGTGGAGGTTCGGATTTCGGTTTATCCATTTTGCTAATGTGTGCTAAAGTAAGGTGCCCAGATGTCTGTAATGATATCCGGTGCGGCGGCGGCGGGGAGGGTGCGGCGACTGTGTGATCACAGACAAAATCTCGGTACTATTTAGTAGCAGCACATGCCCCTTGTAATAACCCCGTAAGAACTGTTGTTCAGGACTGCTTACTTGTGCTTCCTACCCATTCTGCTACTGTAATAACCGTTGTTCAAACCCACACGCAACATTTTTGCTCTCATTCGTGAAACGCTTAAATCAGGGACGTTTTCGGGGACAGCTTTTGCCGGGACAGGTCATCCAATACGGGGACTAGCCCCGGAAATCGGGGACGTCTGGTCACCTTATGCTGAAGGCTAAAAACGGCAGGTATTAAACCATATATTTTAGACCCCGAGTCCGAAGAGGAGGTGGAAGTTGAGGAAGAAGCCGGAGATCTCCAGCGGTGTTTTCTCATTCATTCTGCCCAGCTTTAAGTTCATTTTCCCGGCAGTGAACCCAAGGAAACACCGGTCGTTTGGAAGAGACCCATAGCGGATACAGTGGTAGCTGGTACTCGCTCTGGCTGGAGAGTGATGTTGACTGTGACTGAGTATGAGAACAAGAGAGTGGGCGAGGCTCACCGAGGACGCGCTCGTGAATAATAATGAGCAAGGTCAGCGTGAGTGAGAAGGACCTGCTTTTTCAATTGGCCTGGTTTACCCGTTTCTTTATTTTAAACCTTTAAAGAATGCAAACGTCGTAACGGTTTGTTTTCACATTTACAACATAAGACGAACATAATATGGACCTTATCTGACACAAAAAATTACATTTTTGATGGCAGGTCCCCTTTAAAATCCAGGCTCAGTTTGGATTACAGATGCACTTGTTTTTAGACTAAAGGATGGACATCAAGATCTGGTTCTGAAGCGCTCCTTACATACCAGCTCTATAAAGAAACCCAAAAACGCTGCTTGAACAAACCTGTTATACAATCAAAGATAATTTCTTTCAACATCATATGATTCATTAATTCAGTCTCATCCAGGGATGCAAATTCTTTAAACACATGGACGTTTATGAGAAATAAAGGTGTCCTGTGCTCGCAGTTTGGAAATTCAAACTTTTTTTTTTTTTAATCAATTTCCTTGTTCTGTTAGCTAAATTGACTTTGCACTCCTGAAAATAAAGTCAGATTCAGGCTTTGTCTTGAATTAACTACACAAATTCACTGAGAGTGAAGTGAAAGCTGAGCTCCTGATCTTGTTGCCGTCTCTCATTCAAACGTAGCTCTCATTATTGTGAGTTAGAGTAATGTGTTAATACAAAGCTCTACCTGACAGCTGTGTGACCCCATGGTTTGGTTTGTGTCTGCAGCTGAAGGGGCCAATGGATCACAGCCACTTCGACTCGTTTCCTCCTGAGGCTGAGGAGCCTCCTGATGAGCTGTCAGGCTGGGATAAAGACTTCTGAGGACACTGGTCATCTGAAAACCAAGCAGTGGGCCCTGATCTCTGACTTTCTCTGTGACACAGAGGCTCAACTTTCCATGGAGCACTTCAACCAGGTTCATGATACTGAGTGAAGGTGTCCAGCAAAGAAATTTTGTCCAAAACCTTTGGTGGCATTGTTTATAATTGGCCACGCAAAAAAAGCTTCTGTATTTACAGCTAAGAGTTCTAAATACCTCCTAGTCAGAGCTCTCTTTCTAAGCTGAGCTGTGGCTTTTTCTGGGTGACCATGAGAGACATTATAAAATATCTTTCACTGCCTTTGTTAGGCCTTTACTTGAGGACCTTAAAGGCCAGGTTCCTATTGTAGCCTACAGCCTTTTTCAAACCGTAACACTCACACCAAATGTCCAAAGAGGCCAGGATGTGATCACCTATGACTTTTTCTTGTTGCTAATGGATAATGATGCAAACACACATCTGAAAAAAACAGAAGTCCTGTCTTGAATGCCTTTTGTAGTAGACAAACATTAAACCTTTGAAAATGCATGCTTAGTGCCTAAAAAATATTCAAGGCCCCTAGTGGATGTCCAGCAAGTGCATGTTTTTTTCACCCCTGCCCCTCAAACAGTTGAGATCACCACAGTTCAAGACACAGTCTGTGAGTCTCCTTGCAGAGAAAGCAGGAACATGTAGTGGTGTTAAACATGTTTTGTTGCACGAGGCACAAGCTGCATTGTTCAGCTGTGTAAGGTTTGCTGAGGGGCTACAAATGGCTACATTTGAGAACAGGAAACTGGACTTTGGAGCAGAAAATTTCATGTTCAGTGAAATAATTTATTTTCACTTGTTACAGGTAAAGAAATACTCATGTCCACTTGTTGTATGCTTTCCACCCACCTTCGACCCAGAACATTGTAATATAAAACACTCATCACTTACATGAAGGCATTTTTTTAAAAAGTTAATAAACGTAAGAACCTTTGCCCTCATTTATTTATTGAACCTGGGTTGATTTCCCCTTAACTGATCAAATGTATAGACACATTTTAAATCAGAGAAATTATCTTTAGATTCATTTCTGTGCCTGTGTGTTTATTCCTATGCTGGTGATCAGGAACCTGGATGGGTCGGTAATCTCTGGTCTGCAGGAAGAGCTTCTCTGCACTGTCGCATCATTTATACCCTCTGTAACTTCTTTGTTCAGTCCTTGTCTTTTGCTCCAGTAATTGTGTAAATTGGTTGCACTGGTTTCAGCTCTCAGTCTAATCTGGACAGTTCAGGGTATTCTCTTGACTTAAAGACCCACTCCAATAAAAATCATGTTTTTCTTGTTGCCTTTGTCATTTTACTGATGCAAGAGGACATATCATGAGAATAGTGCAAAATTGCATTTCTAAAATTTTCTTCATTCAAATTGCTGTGAACCTCTCACAGGTTCCTGCACCCCCAAACAGCAGGCTCAGACACAGTGGGAATTTCTACATCACAAATCCAAGCTTTGCCCCTGGCGCTACACTCTGCAGGCCAAACTCTGTTAAGTAGAGAGGACAATTACAGATCAAGCATGTGCGTTAGTGGATTGTAAGGCTTGTAAGACAGCTAATTATGATATTAGCTTTCATTATATCCCTAAATACATTAGTGTGCAAGAGCTGAATAGTTTCTATGTTACCTACAACTTCTACTACACCTGCAATGTAAGACTGCAAGCGAGCATGAAGAGGAGGGTCTCCGCCCATGACTCAGAGGCTAATTGCCAATGAGCTACTGGAGCTCTGCAGAAGAAACACCCTTGAAAATGTCACAGGGAACGTGATTTTGGCTACGTCATAATCACAATTTAAAGGCCACTGAGAATACTTTAAGTAGTAAGTAGGCTTCATGAGTTTTTAAACATTTCTAAACCACCAACACATGCTCCTCTTCCTCCTGTTTGAGTTGAATTATTGACTACTATGTCCCCACCAGATAGCTTTTATTTAATGCTATTAGTATTAATATATTACGTGTGTGTGTGTGTGTGTGTGTGTGTGTGTGTGTGTGTGTGTGTGTGTGTGTGTGTGTGTGTGTGTGTGTGTGTGTGTGTGTGTGTGTTTGGTCACTAAGATTACATTTATATATTATACTATATTACATAGTCTATGGATAGTACAAAGACTAATGACTGTTTTCATTTCTGGTCAAAGCTCAGTCAGTTCAGGTCTGGAGCTCTGTTACTGTGCCTGTTTTGCTCTCCTTGGAGATCTGGCTTAATCTCTTTATTAAAATAATCTCTGACCTGTAGATACATGAAAAAGTCTTGTTTGTCCAAATTGTATTCTTTTCCTTGTTTTAGAAAGCTTTTGACTTCTCCCTTTTTAGTAATTGTATTAATTATCGTTATCCTTTCTTTTACTATTGTTTGAACCTGTGATTCAAAGCCCCTGGCTGAAAATTTTCATCGTATGCCAACCATCTCAAACTCTTTATTTCTTTTTTCAGGTTGTATCTCTTTACTACTTTGAACCAGATTTCCAAGGTGAACTTTCCTCTTTTTCTTTAAACATTCTTCTGTGCTATCATACTCTGTGTATGACATCCTTCCACAACTCAATCTCTTTCCATCTTGTAAAATAATTTCTATTACACCAACAAACCAAGTGCCGCAGCTGTGCAGCAAAAAAATATTCTTTAAGATTTGGCAGTGCCAATCCCCCCTTGTCTTTCGGTAATTGAAGTGTTGAAGATCTTATTGTTGGTTGTTGCCCTTTCCAGATGAATCTTTAAATTCTTTTATCCCACTCTTAAAATTGCAGGGGTGGGATTGGCACCGGCAAGGACTGCAACAGATACAAAATTCTTGGTAATACATTCATTTTTACGATTTCAATCCTTGAACTAAGGTCAAACATCAGTACCAACCATCTTTCTATGTCCTTATATATTAGGGTTCTTATTCTTGGATGTTGGATGAGAATACTGACCTCTGTTTCAGTATACATGTGCAAACCAAATGGCTCCAATTGGAAATGCTGTATATACCCAGGCATTTGGCGAAATGATGAGTCGATTCCTTGATATTTTATTTTATTTTATTTTTTTTTTTGGTGAAGTTAATCTCTATATATATGTCCTCGTGTATTCTTTTCTTTTTTTTGACCTCTGACTTGATGACTTTCAGGGCATTTTTGTTCAGGCACCGTGTTCTCTTTGTGGTGTCTTCTTAAGTTTAGTATAATACACTTTGCTCACACCTTTTTCTTATTGTGGACTTTGTCTGAAGCAGGTCAATTTACACTGTAAAACCAATTTCAGGGTGATTTTAGAGCCACATCAGAACAATTATTAGTATGATTATAGGGTGATTTCAGGGCAATTCAGAGTAATAACAGGGCATTTAAAGTGCTATTTTAAAGCAGTTTATGTGCAATTTCAGCGAGTTTGAGTGATTTTGGAGCAAATAAGTGGGATTTCAAAGTGGTTTTAGGGCAATGTCACAGTGAATTTCAGAACAATATCAGTGCCATTCTGTAGGATTTCAGAAAAAAGTCAAAGTGATTTCAGTGCAATGTTACAGTAATTTCAGTATGATTTCAGGGAAACATCAGAGCCGTTTAAGACCAACACAGTGAAATTCATGGAAAAGTTTGAGCACAAAGAACTTACCTGTCCAAGTATTTGGGCTGTCTTCTTTTATTCTTAAATGTGTTTTATTGTCATTAGAAATATTCCTTTAAATATCAGGGATGTGTGGTTTCATTACTGCAGTAGTTTCAGGATCTTGGCTTATTGTCACTCTAAGAATTACATGTTTGTTTTTTTAAATTTACACTGATCAATTTACCTTATAGTGTGGAGATTAAACTTGCTGTACTGCAATTACTGTATAAATGTCTACCAATTGTCACAATAAGAGTCACGGGGAAATTGTTTTACACTAAACTATGTGTTTTTCATGATGAAAAAAGAGGTGTGTATATGAGGGTTGCCTCAATATACTAGTATTGATGATAACCCTCTTTATAGAGAAAAAAATATATTTGTATTGATGACTAAATAAAGTGTACAGTAACATCTCAGCAGCCTTCACATGTGCTTGGTCCAGTGTAGATTCAGTTTAGCAGAGATTTTCTGTGTATGTCACTGTTAAAATATTTCCTTATTCTGGCCATATAGGCATGGGCCAGCCCAAAACATTAGCCTCAAGTTTCACGTCAGGAAAGTAAAAAAGATATTTCATGTCAGCTGCAGCAACAAAAAAAACAGACAACAACAATGCTCATCAAATACAGAGGAAAAGAGCAAAGAAAACAAAACTAACAAAACTTACAAAAGAAAAACGCAGGAACAGCAAAAAAGGAACTGGATAGGATAAAAAAAAAATAGATAAAATCAATAACATGCTGCACTCCTTTTCTCAAGAATTCAGACCAGCTATACTGCTAAGAGGAGACAAAAGACAAGGCGGCACTTTAACAAAGAACTGTCCCATTTATAAATGATAACTCTAACCATGAACACACATTTACATTTATACATGACATATACATTACTTACATTTTATCTACAGGACTGACCGTAGAGTTGAGGATTTTAACTGATAAAACATTTTAACTTATAAACTTGTTAACAGTTTTAAATTAGATTTTAATATTGTAGGCTGTATTCTTGATTTCTTAACACCCAGAACAGAGAGAGTGAGGGTGAATGTCAGGGGAGATGATATTATCCACTGTCTCCTCTCCTCTACAGTCTGTACACTGACAAATGCTGCAGTCAGCATGGTAACAGATTTATTCTAAAATTTGCTAAATATTCGGTAATAGTCAGCCTCCATCATGTCCTCTAATATATACCCATGGTCCTGTAGTCCATGAATTTGTAGACTGATGTGGCAATGCTTTTCTTTAATTAAATGTGCAGAAAACTTCAGACATGCACATTGATTTTAGAAAAAAGTCCCACAGCACCAATCAAATAACCAACATTAAAGGCCAGACAGTAGACACTGTTCAATATTATAAATATCTTAGGACTATCGTGGATAAAAATCTTAAATTTACTTCCCACTCTGAGGTTCTGTACAAAAAAGACCAGTGACGGCTGTCCTGTCTGTAAAAATGATCCAAGTTTCAGATTGATGATTTCATTTTCAAATCATATTTTGAATTTGTACATCAGTCTTTGTCCCAGTTTGCAAACCAGGCAAGGATGGACAGTGTCAATGAATGGATGTCTGCCTCTACAACAGTAGGTGGTATTACACCCCTTTGAGCTGGATACTGTTGGGCCATCTCCCACTAGACCTTACACCACATGCACCAAAACAGTCGACAAACACGTTAGCTAGAGGCTGGTTGTATGTTGAATGATGAAAACATGGACATTTTACTGTTCTATACCTTTGGTATGTACAACATGACAGCCTGCTCTCATTTTACAACTGTCAAAGTTTTGTTTCCCTCCTGTATTTCTTAATTTATGCTGTTCGGCTTCCTGGCCATAGTCTGACGTGCAGACTGTAGAGCGTGTGCAGATCAGTTAGATCCAGTTCAGTCCAGATACCAAAACATGAGATGGTTTGGGTCGGACTAACTTGTTAACATGCACTCACTGCAGGAAACCTTACTGGCTATATTAGTGTGAGGGACTACAGGCTTATGTAACGGACTTCAAAATGCACTTCATAGGCTGTATTGGGACAGAGGAAAAGTGCCTAGAAAGTGAATCTTGTTCCACTTCAGTGGGGCAACATAATCTGTGATTCATAAAATAGCTCTATTGATAGTAAGTACTAAAAAAAAATATCTACTCATGCCATCCAGTCTACTTTTAGCAATCAGTTTTTCGGTGTCGAACTATTTCCTTTCTGTGGCGTAGTGATACTTGCACACGCGCAATCGAATATGCAGAAGGGTGAAGCAATTGTTGTCACGTGGACCAATAGGAGCTGAGTCTCGTTGC